ATTTTAGGAAAAATATAAATAGTAATTTAAAACTAGTATCTTTATACTTTAATTCTTTATTAACTTTATTTAATAAAGTCTAGTATAGTTTCTATACTAGATAGTAGGTATATATAGCTAGTATTCTTAAGAATATTTAGTATATTTTTATAAATATAAAGGGTTTTAACTCTAGTAATTTTTTTTATTAATTTAATTATTTAAGTTAATTCTTCTAGAGAATATTTATTAGGACTCTTATTTTTATAGACTTAAGAAGTATATTATAATATTTATAGTAATATTAGTTATTAAATATAATTATTTAATTAGAGAAATATATCTTTAAATTATATATAATAAATTAGGCTAGTTCTAGAATAATTAGATAGTAAGAGAAATAAATAATATAGAAAATAGATTTTTAATTATAATAATTATTTAATAATAAGTTAATTTTTATATAATAAATTATTATATTTTTTTCTACTTTCTTATTATAGAAACTAAATAAAAATATTAAATAAAAGAGTAAAATAATTTTTAGTTTATATATTTTTATTTATTAATAATTTATAAAATTAACTTCTTTAATTTTAGAATTAATTATAATATAAATTAGTATTTTTAGATTTTTTTAATATAGTTATACCTACTATACTATTAGATTAGCATGTATATAATAAGGATTAGGAAAGTTAGTTAATTTAGTAATAATATAAGATAGGTAGAGTAATATATCTAGTAATAAGGGCTTTTATATATATTTTAGTACTAGATAATAATTATAGCTAGATAAACTCTATTTTCTAAGTTAGGTAAGATATTAGAGGAGTATAGTTAGTTAGATTTTTTTAAAATAGTAAGGTAGTTATTCTAAGCTATAGTATAGAAAGTAGATAATATTATAATAAGAATTAAGTTAGAATAATATACTAGTATATTTATTTATTTTTAAATTTATATAAAATATTAATTAAATAAAGAATAATTCTTTATATAGTATATTTTATTTCTATAATAAAAATATTTCTTATACTTATATTATTCTCTTCTAAGGGAGTATAATATATAGTAAGTATAAAATAAATTTATAATATCTAAATCTCTTCTAGGTATAGGAGATATAATTAGATAATTAAGTAGAATAGAACTAGGAAGATTTCTTAGTACTACTAGGCTAGAATAATAGGAACTAGATATTAGGTAAGAATAGGATACTTATTGTCAGGGGACAGAGTTGGATTCAGATATTCATTAACTAGGAGCTAACTAGACAGAATAGCAGAATAGTAGATATTAGATAATAGATAGGACATAGCTTGAAGAGCTATAATAGGATTAAGGATAATATAACTTAAATATAGGAATAAAAATAAATAATTAAAATAAAATCTAACTAGATAAATACTATAGCTTTATACTATAATAATACCCCTTTTCTTAGGGTTAAACTTTATTAAGACTAGGAAGAAATTAGTTAGGATTTCTTAGGATAATAAAGGTAATAATTATTTACTAGTTAGTAGATATTCTTTAGATACTTAGCAGGCTCTTTAATTAGCTTATTATATTTAATTTACTTAATAATATATTATAGTTTAGATTTATTATAATCTTAATAAATCTATTAGAAATTAAAAACTTCCTTAATTTTTTATTCTTCTAATTCTTTTACTTTAATAAGTAGTAGTAAATTAAAGTATTAATTAAGTAAAGAATTATTAGTAATAGAATAAAGTAAAAATATATTAAATATAAAATAAATTCTTATATTTTTAAGTAATTTAAATTTATAAATATATAGGCTAATAATCTTCTTAATATAATATAATCTAAAATTTTTCTAGTCTAACTTCTTTTATAGATAGAATATTTAAATATTATAGGTATCTAGCTAGACTTCTTACCTTATAGTATAGTAATATATAGATTATCTTTAATAATTAACTTATACTTTATAACAGGCTTAAGTAGATAAGATCTTAATATAAATAAACTTATAAATCTTATATATAATATTAGTAAATTTCTTAATATCTTTTTTAATAAGGTAAATAGTAAAGTAGCTTAATTTAAATCTTAATATTAGGTAAAATCTATAATTAGCTATAAATAGTAATATTTTTATAAACTTAGAATAAATAAAGTTAGTAATAAATTTAATTATTAATAATTATTTAAATTAATTATCTTATAAGTATAATATATATATTTATAAGTATTATTCTAAAATAATATTAGTATATTTAATTTAATTATTAGTCTTAAAATAATAAATAGTAAATAATAAGTTATAAATTTTTAAATAAGATATTAGATATTTTTAGAAAGTAATAATAAATTAGATTTTATAATTTAATATAATTATTTTAGGAATATTATAAAGTTTCTAGATATATTTAAAATATAGATTAATTATTTCTTTAATATTAATTATTCTAGTATAAGGAAGGAAATATTTTATCTTTATTAAATAATTAATTATAACTAGGATAATATTATAATTATTACTTAATAATAAGTATATAATAAAGTCTATACTTATATCTTACTAGGCATGTTTAAGAATTAGTAGAAATCTTAATATTTCTTACTTTACTTCTTAAAAAGGGATAATTTAATAGTAAAAATAATAATTTTAAATTTATTAATTAATATATTTATAAATCCTAGACTAGAAATATTTATATAATATTAATTTATATATCTTAGTTTTTCTAGAATATTTAATAGTAAGATTTTTATAATAGAGTTTTAGTATTTTAATTTTTATCTTATTATAATTAAGTATATAAAATTAGTCTTAATATCTTAAGTATAGACTAGTATATCTATAATTAGCTAGTATAATATTAGGATATCTTAGTAGACTATTTTTTAGGATATTTAGAATAGACTAGAACTTCTTATCTTATAAATAAGCTCTATTAAATAGTAATTATAATATTAATAATAGAAAGATTAATTTATTAGTAATAGGTTATTTAATAAAGTATACTTAATATTAATTATTAATATTTAGTCTTAAATTAGTAATAATTTTAGATAGTAGATTTTTAGATTTTAAAATAATCTAATTTTAATAAAGAAATTATTTATTTCTCTCCTTAAATAAGTCCTCTAATCTCCTAATTAATATATTAGGCTTAATATCTAACTTCTTAAGATAATAATATATTTAGAAGTTAAATCTTAATAAAAATTTAAACTAGCAGGCTTATTAATAATTTAATAGCTTAATTAATATAAAATATTCTAGATTCTAATAATTTATAATAATCTTTATAGGTAATAGAGTCCTTTTTAATTTAGAGTATTATTCTTTAAAGTAATAAATAATAACTAATAATTCTTTATTATAAATTTTATAATTATATTCTATTATAAAATATTTCTTAAAAAAAAATATAATAGAGTATAATATATTTTTATTATTATATTATAATAGTACTTTAGTAAATATATAATTAAAGATATTAATTTCTAGAATTATATCTTTTAACTAGTTAAAAAATTTTAATATTAGGATATTTATAAAAGTAGCTTTTAATTATTTAAATACTTTTTAATAAATAAGTATCTAGTTAAAATTAATATTCTTTTTAATTAAATTAACTAATAATCTAATAATTTTTAAAAAATTATAAATAAATTAGTAGTAAAAGTTCCTAAAGCTAATAAAGGCTTGAATATTAGTTAGATAAATTAGTATTTCCTACTTAGTAATTATTTTTATTTTATTAAGATCTATTTAGAAGCTATTTTTATTTATAATTAATCTTAAAAACTTTATTTTATATATAAAGAATTTATATTTATTAAATTTAATATAAAGTCTTACTACTTATAGGTGTCAGGGGGCAGAGTCAGATTCAGATATTCATTGACTAGGAGCTAACCAGACAGAACAGCAGAATAGTAGGTATTAGGTAATAGACAGGACATAGCTCGAAGAGCTACAACAGGATTAAGGACAACATGGCTTAAATACAGGAATAAGAGTAGATAGTTAAGATAGAATCTAACTAGATAGATATTATAGCTTCGCACCATAATAGTACCCCTCTCCTTAGGGTCAAGCTCTATTAAGACTAGGGAGGAATCAGCCAGGGTTTCTTAGAATAATAGAGGTAGTAATTATTTACTAGTTAGTAGATATTCTCTAGATATTTAGCAGGCTCTTTAATTAGCTTATTATATTTAATCTACTTAATAATATATTGCAGCTTAAGTTTGCCACAGCCTTAATAAACTTATTAGAAATTAAGGACTTCCTTAACTTCCTATTCTTTTAATTCTTCTACTTTAACAGGTAGTAGCAGATCAGGATATTAACTAGATAGAGGGTTATTAGTAGTAGGGTAGAGTAGAAATATATTAAATATAGAATAGATTCTTATACTTTTAAGTAGTTTAAGTTTATAAGTATATAGATTAATAATCCTTTTAACTTAGTATAGCCTAAAGTTTTTCTAGTCTAACTTCTTCTATAAGTAGAGTATTTAGATATTATAGGTGTCTAGCTAGACTTCTTGCCTTATAGTATAGTAATATGCAGGTTGCCTTTAGTAGTTAGCTTATACTTTATAATAAGCTTAAGTAAATAGAATCTTAATATAGATAAACTTATAAATCTTATATATAATATTAGTAAATTTCTTAGTATTTTTTTTAGTAGAGTAGATAGTAGGGTAGCTTAGTTTAAACCCTAATATTAAGTAGAATCTATAGTTAGCCATAAATAGTAATACTCTTGTAGACTTAGAGTAAATAAAGTTAGTAGTAAACTTAATTATTAATAGCTATTTAGACTAATTATCTTATAGGTATAATATATATACTTGCAAGTATTATCCTAAAATAGTATTAGTATATTTAGTTTAGCTATTAATCTTAAGGTAATAAGTAATAAATAATAAATTATAGATCTTTAGGCAGGATATTAGGTATTTCTAGAAAGTAATAATAAATTAGACTCTATAATTTAATATAATTATTTTAGGGATATTATAGAGTTTCTAGATATACTTAAGGTATAGATTAGCTATTTCTTTAGTATTAATTATCCTAGTACAGGGGAGGAAGTACTTTATCTTTATTAGATAATTAACTATAACTAGAATAGTATTATAGTTATTATTTAATAATAAATATATAATAAAGTCTATACTTATATCTTGCCAGGCATGTTTAAGAATTAGTAGAAACTTTAGTACTCCTTACTTTACTTCTTAGAAAGGAGTAATTTAGTAATAGAGATAATAATTCTAGATTTATTAGTTAATATACTTATAGATCCTAGGCTAGAAATATTTATATAATATTAATTTATATATCTTAGTTCTTTTAGAATATCTAGTAATAGGATTTTTATAATAGAGTCTTAGTATTTTAGTTTTTATCTTATTATAATTAGGTATGTAAAGTTAGTCTTAATATCTTAGGTATAGACTAGTATATTTATAATTAGCTAGTATAATATTAAGATATCTTAGTAGACTATTCTTTAAGATATTTAGAATAAACTAGAGCTTCTTATCTTATAAATAAGCTCTATTAAATAGTAGTTATAATATTAGTGGTAGGGAGATTAATTTATTAATAGTAGGTTATTTAGTAAAGTATACTTAATATTAGCTATTAGTATTTAATCTTAGATTAGTAGTAGTCTTAGGCAGTAAGTTTTTAGATTTTAGAATAGTCTAGCTCTAGTAAAGAAATTATTTATTCCCTTCCTTAGGTAGGTCCTTTAATCTCCTGGTTAGTATATCAGGCTTAGTACCTAACTTCCTGAAGTAGTAATATATTTAGAAGTTAAATCTTAATAGAAATTTAGACTAGCAGGCTTATTAATAATTTAGTAGCTTAATTAATATAAAATATTCTAGATTCTAGTAGTCTATAATAATCTTTATAAGTAATAAAGTTCTTTCTAGTTTAAAGTACTATTCTTTAAAGTAATAAATAATAATTAATAATTTTTTATTATAAATCTTATAATTATATTTTATTATAAAATATTTCTTAGAAAAAAATATAATAGAATATAATATATTTTTATTATTATATTATAATAGTACTTTAGTAAATATATAATTAGAAGTATTAATTTCTAGAATTATATTTTTTAACTAGTTAAAAGATTTTAATATTAGGGTATTTATAAAAGCAGCTTTTAATTATTTAAATACTTCTTAGCAGGCAGGTATCTAGTTAAAGTTAATATTCTTCTTAATTAGATTAACTAATAGTCTAATAATTTTTAAAAAGTTATAAATAAATTAGTAGTAAAAGTTCCTAAAGCTAATAAGGGCTTAAATATTAATTAGATAGGTTAGTATTTCCTACTTAATAATTATTTTTACTTTATTAGGATTTATTTAGAAGCTATCTTTATCTATAATTAGTCCTAAAAACTTTATCTTATATATAAAGAATTTATATTTACTAAACTTAGTATAAAGTCCTACTACTTATAGGCATTCTAATACTTATTAGATATAATAGGTATATTTAGTATAGATTTAGCTATAAATTAGAATATTATCTAGATATATAATATAGAAGATATCTAGATAATTATATAAGGCTTTATTAATAAATCTCTAGAATAATACTAGGGCTTTAGTAAGCCTAAATAGTATTATTAAGGATTTAAATAGGCCTAATTAAGTTTAGAAAGTAATAAGGTATTCCTGTCTTTTTTTAATCTATAGATTATTAAAAGTAGAGATAATATTAATTTTTAAGAAATATTTTATCTCTTTTAGGTTATTTAGTATCTCTTTTATTAGTAGTAATAAGTAATAATCTTTTATAGTAATTATATTTAGGACTTAATAATTTATATAGAATTATAAATTTTCTCTAGATTTTTTTATAAATAAGATAGAGGATATAGTAGGAAAGAAACTAGAGTAAATAAAATCTTTTCTTAAGTTTTCTTTAATCTATTCTTTCAGAATTTTTAGTTTATCTCAGGACATGCTATATAGGCTCCTAAAAGGTAGGATTTTTCTAGGTAGTAATTTAATCTTATAATTATTAGATTAGTAAGGTAGCAGGTACTTGGCCTTCTTTAGTAAGAATATATTATAGAACTTAATAAACTTAGGGAGTAGTTACTCTTATAGCTTAGATTTAATAATAGTAATAGGGTTTAGAATAGCTTTAATATTAGTAATAGTAGTAATAAATATCTAGTATCTATAACAGGCATATATAATATAAGTAGTAACTAAGACTTTAGTAATATCTTGGTTCTTTAGAGATTTAGGATAGGAATTAAGATATTAGAAAGAAGCTTTTAGTAATATATTATATAATATTAAAATCTTTATAAACTTTAAAAGTATATTATAGTATTTTCTATAATAGGGGCTTTTAAATAAAATAATATAATTAATAAATCTAATCTAGAAGTTATAGATCTTTAATTAAGATAAGCTAAAAATAATAAGAAAGTATATAAGTTAGATTATAAAAAAAGTAATATCCTTTTTAATATAGTTATAAATTCTTTAGGTTAAATAAATAAAATAAGTAATATTATTAGACTTTACTAGAGTATTATTAAATCTCCTTAATAAGATAGGATTTCTTAATAGTAGTATCTCTAGTTAGTTATCTATAGCTTAATTATAGTCTATAAAATATTTATTTTTAGCTCTAGAGTTAATTATAGCAAAGATTAGTAAAGTCTTATTAAGGGTTTCTAGGTTAATAGGCAGGATTATTAATTTAGATTAGTAACTTTTCTTCTCTACTATTATTCTAGCTATTATAGCCTTTAATAGGTAGAGGAAGCGCCAGGGGTATTCTTAATTATAATTTAGATTAAGGATACTCTATTTTCTAATTTAAGGAATATAGAATATTTAGCAGGCAGGGTTCTAGTTAATAGGGGGTATAGGTCTAGTTTAGTAATAGATATAGAGATATGGCTGGTTGGTCTTTAGTTAGAATGCAGGTAGCTACCTACTAGGTGGTTAGTGCTGCTACAGTAGTAATATAGGCATTAGGTTTGATAATTAAGGTAATAGGTAGTAGACAGGTTTATTAGGTCTTTAGTAGGAGTAATAGCAATAATAAGATTAATAGGAACTACAGGAATTTAGACAGTAGGAATTAACTTTAAGATAGGTTAGGAAGGCTAGGAATTCTTTATAAATAGGGGCAGGGTAGTACTTATATAATAATAATAATAATTTTCTAGATTTTATAGGTAATTAATAAAGTTATAATATTATAATAAGGCCTTAAAGTATATTAATATTTCTTAAAGTTTTTAGTTAATAGCCTGTTCTAAAATTATAGGTAAGATATCTTTATTTATATTCTCTTCTAATATAAGGTATTAAAATTTAGTAAAAAAGATATTAAACTTATAATAGATTTATTAAAGATAGAATAAATTAATATAAATATTAATTTCTAGATTTAGATTTCTAAAAACTTTCTTTAAGATTTCTAAAATCTTAGTATAATTATTTAATTTATAGATTCTATCTTAGATATATAGTAAGATTTAGATATATAGGATTCTTTTAAGGTAACTAATTATATAAGCTATTCTACTATTTAGGGTTAAAAAATAGTTAAGATTTATAGTTATCTTTTAGTAGATTTAAAAAGTAAAGTATCTTAAGTTACTTTATTAGCTATTAAACTTATTAAGGTTAGAAAGTTATTTAGAGATTTAGGTAGTAGAAATAGATATAGTAAGAGTAGTAGTAATAATAGGGGGGGTAGTAATATTAGTATCTCTTTTAGAAGGAGATAGTAATTAAAAAGGCATGCTATTCTAAGTAAGTATTTTAAATAGCTCCTATTAAGTTTCTTTAGCTTGTATCTTCTAGTACTTAATTATACTATCTTTCTATTAAATATAGTCAAGAAGGTTAGTAATAATAGAGTATAAAGTAGATAGTTTATAAAATTCTTTTATAGTAGTAATAGAGAATTAGTATATCTTAGTAATATACTATCTTAATTTATTAGGGATATTATACAGGAGGGTTTCTATATCTTTAGGTAGTATAGGTAGTAAGACAGGCATGATAGTAATAATTAACTCTTAGTAAAGAGGAGCTATGTAATGTTAGGGGGCAGAGTTAGATTTAGATATTTATTAACTAGGAGCTAACTAGATAGAATAGCAGAATAGTAAGTATCAGGTAATAGATAAGATGTAGCTTAAAGAGCTATAACAGGATCAAGGATAATATGGCTTAAATACAGGAATAAGGGCAGACAGTCAAGGCAGAATCTAACTAGATAGGTACTACGGCTTCGCACCGTGACAATAGGTATTCTAATATTTATTAAATATAATAAATATATTTAGTATAAGTTTAGCTATAAATTAAAATATTATTTAAATATATAATATAAAAAATATCTAGATAATTATATAAAACTTTATTAATAAATCTCTAGAATAATACTAGGGCTTTAGTAAGTTTAAATAATATTATTAAGAATTTAAATAGGTTTAATTAAATTTAAAAGATAATAAGATATTCTTATTCTTTTTTAATTTATAGATTATTAAAAGTAAAAATAATATTAATTTTTAAGAAATATCTTATTTTTTTAAATTATTTAATATTTCTTTTATTAATAATAGTAGGTAATAATCTTTTATAATAATTATATTTAGGATTTAGTAATTTATATAGAATTATAAGCTTTTTTTAGGTTTTTTTATAAATAAGATAGAGAATATAATAAAGAAAAAACTAAAATAAATAAAATTTTTTTTTAAGTTTTTTTTAATCTATTTCTTTAAAATTTTTAATTTATCTTAGGACATGCTATATAAGCTTTTAAAAAATAGGATTTTTCTAAATAATAATTTAATCTTATAATTATTAGATTAGTAAAGTAGTAGATACTTAGCCTTCTTTAGTAAGAATATATTATAAAATTTAGTAAACTTAAGGAATAATTACTTTTATAGCTTAGATTTAATAATAATAATAGGGTTTAGAGTATTATGGCGTAGCCATGTACCTATCTGGTTAGATTCTGCCCTAACTATCTACCTCTACTCCTATATTTAAGCTATATTACCCCTAATCCTATTATAGCTCTTTAAGCTATATTCTTATCTTAACCTAACTCTTACTTATTATATCTATATATAAATAGCCTGAATATATACCTTACTATTAATTATACTTACTACCTGCCTACTCCCTATAATATTATATAGCTT